GAGTAGGGAGTTGTGGGGGGCAGGCAGTGCAGTCACCGGCCCCCACGGTGCAAATGAAAAATAAAATTCTAAGATTCAGTTCCTAAGATCCAAAGAGCTTCTCACTCCTTAGAAACTCCCAGTGGAGCCAGCGAGGGGACAAAGGTCTGCACTAAGTGAGTTATAAAAACAACTCCAAGCCAGGGACTGCAGAGCTGCCCCCCACCCACCCACTCCTTGCACACACCCACCCAGGCTGCCTAGGATTAACCCCGGCCTGCCCAGCTGTGCAGCTTCAGGAAGGATTTGGAGAAAGGAGAGGAGGGAGGGAAGTTTCCTGCTTTGTGTGCCACTGATCCAGTGCTCCTCCTAGTCACCTGATGCTCAGAGCACCTCCTGGAGGACGGTGACCATAGAGCCCAAGGGAGGCCATGCACACGACCCAGGGATGACGCCCATCAGGGGCTGATATCCCTTCTCCTGGCCCCCTGCCCCCCTCTCTGTTAGACCACCCAGATGTCCAAAGCACTGAGCAGCTCCTCCATCCTCCACTCCAGCAAACTTGCCATAAAGACTCCTGCTAAGCCCTTGGCAGACATCACTAATCAACTGGGGCACATGTTAGATCCCAGAGCTCCTGGCAGATGCTACCAGTTGATCAGACCTGGCCCAGAAGATAAAAAGGCTCCCCAGCCCAACTCTGGGCAGTGAGACATGTGTGGCATCTCCCTGCAGCTTGGCCAGCCCTCAGCCCATGAATGAATGAGGGAATGAGTGAGCAGATGTACGCCCAACAATGCCAGGAGCCCAGAGACCTAGACCAAGGGGTATCTTCAGTCTACACAACTCCATCTACGAGTTCAGAACCACACAGGAACCCCCACCTGGGCCAGTGTCAGGGTGTGGTCCTGCAGGACTGGGGGAAAGGGCTGCCCTGGATCTGGGACCCAGCCTTGCTCCCGGTGCCCACTGGCCACAGGCCTTCCTGAGATGCAGCCCAGAGCTCCCACATCCCAGCCCCAATGGCCTCCCTGCCTCAGAAGGGACTCAACAGTTGACCCTGCGCTGGTCAAAGCCCAGGTGTCAGTCCTCCCACAGCAATTCACACTCAACCAAAGAGACAGGACATTGGGGCAGTTAGAGGCTGAACTGGGAAGCAGGACATCTGAATTCCAGTTCTAGCTCCTGGCCAGTTCTCTAAGGTCTCTGGACCTCAGTTTACCCATCTGGAAATTGGGGAGAGGGAAGCCTGGTCTCTAGGGCCCTTCTAACACTAGCAATGCCTTCTGCACAGTTGTGTTCATTGATTCACTTATTCCACAAGCATTTATTGAGTACCTACTGTGTACCGGGCCCTTTGCTGAGCCCCTTGCTGATCTCTGCCAGAAGGCCCTCCCCCTCCTTGGTCTCCAGTCTCCAGGTCTTGGCTCCCCACAGGAAGCTTCCTGGGCCAGCTCTGGGGTCCTTCCCGCCCCCTCCAGGTCCAGGCAGTGCTTCTAATCAGGCTTATCACTCCACATTGTTCATCTATCTATCCTGTCTCTTTCCCGGGGAACTGTGACTTTCCATCTTGTTCCCTCGCCCATTTTCAGGGACTCCAGAGGAGGGTTCTGGAAACATTTCCCTGGTGAACAAACACATGAATGCATGGGTAAAGCCCAGGTCTCTCCCCCTCCTCCCAACACGAAGCCCCCACTTCAGCACTTTGCTTCTGCTCCTGTCCCCAAACCAGTCCCTGGGAGCCACTGGGCGAAACCCAACCTTCCCAGACACACCACGGCCCCAAGCCTGGGTGACCAGAAGGTGGCCACAGGTATCTGTGCACTTGAAGGATCTCCTGGCTCTGAGGTGGGGCTGACACCCCCTGGGGCTTGACGGGAGCCCAGGTCCCCAGCAGTCCCCGCGCCCTGCTCCATGCTGTCCCAGCAGACACTCGGTAAATACTGGGCCATTAATTAACTTCCTCCGGGAGCAGTGACTCAGGCCAGACCTCCCAGCTCCAGGGGGAAAGGTGAGCATCCCAAACTTGTGCAGGTGCCCAGACAAAAAAGCCAGCCCTTCATCTCGAAAAGCCTCATCACCCTCTTGACAGGGTACAGATGGAGGGCTGTGCCCCACTGTGTGCACACAGACCCCCCAGCGGCGCCCTCCCTGAACACGGTGCACACAAACAGGGGAGCGACTCGCCCAGCCAATGAGCACGTGGGGTTCCTGCGGGGAGCCCTAGCCGCACCCTCCCAGCCCCCCACGCAGCCCGCTGTCCTATTGGCTCCTTTGGTGAGCTGCGAGAGCTCCCCTGCCCAGGCCACCCCAAAAAAGATCAAGAGGTTTTATCAAGCTGGACAAGGGCTTAGCCCTCCCTGCTGGCCACCTGTGGATTCCCTGGGAGAGGCCACGGGAAGAGCAGGGCTGAGAAGGAGCAGACCGACCACTGCTCAGCGGGCCCCAGGGAATGCAAGGCCCTAAGGAGCTCCAAACTGGCTTCACGACAGTGGATGGACCAGAGATTGGGAAGTACCAAGCCTGGCCCCCTGCCCACTATCCACTCCCACCCCACCTCGTCCTCTAGGTGCACCCGCAGAGTCAGGTTGTGGGGTACAGCTCCAAGAATGGATGACAGAGGACTGAGCTCAGGCTGACTCTTGCTTCTGTGGGGCTCCGGCAGGCCTGGCCTCACAGCAGGTGGTTGGGGGGCCAACAATCAAGGGCATATTCACCAAGAGCTGAGCCCAGAGAACCAGGCTCAGCTCCACTCACAACAGAAGCTGACTTTCAGGAACCTGCTGACATGGGTTCAAATCCTAACAACTCCAACTAAAACTGTCTTACTGTTCCCAGTAAACACTGGGCAAGAACAGAGGGAAGGCCACACTACCTCCCGGGTCCCAGGCTTGTCTGTGGCAGGCCCATGTCCCTGGCTGTAAGACGGACAAAAGTTACAGATTCTCTCCACATGCTGGTGACATCTCAAAGGTGAACTTCAAACATAAATAATGAAGCATTTGTGTGTCTTTGAAATGGGATTTAAAGAAATATAGGGCAGTGTGGTTTTATTCTTACAGGTATCACCACGTGAGCAGGTTCCCCAGCCCTGGGTGTCCCTGTCACCAGATCACCACTCAGAAGTAAATAAAATGTGCTTGCTCGGCAATTCCCCTATAAGTTAATCCTGGCTTCTCTGGGAATGGCGGAGAGAGGTGCTGCTGGTCCCTGGGGTCTTGGACCAGTTTGAGAATGACCTCAGAAGGCATGGGAAGGACAGGGCACTGCGCCCAGAGCTCCGCAGTCTTAGGCAAATTTCTTACATTGTCAGTGTCCAAGTTTCCTCATCTGAAAAATGGGCAAACACCCTGACTTTTTTTTTCCACTCTTGACACCTGGCACTGAGAATGTGCTGGAGAATTGTTTGAAGAAACAAACTGTGAGAATTCTTAGGGTTAAAAGGAGACCCCGAGACTGCAGGATGGGCTGACTGGGTCTCTTGACTCTCACCTAGGGACAAAGAATGTACTGAGGAGGGAGCAAGGAACAAAGAGAGCCAGAAGAACCTCAAGTAGGATGTGAAACAACAGGAAGTGGCCTCCCCTACCCCAGCCCCAACCTCTCTCAGGACAGGTCCTTCTTACCTCTCCTGGTCTCTGAGGACCAAGTTCACCCACTTCCGGACCCCTGCTCAGGTAAGGAGAGAGCCTCAGGAGCTGCCATGCAGCCCGGATCTGGCACCAGTCACCCCACTGCCCCTCAGGCCTAGAGCCGCCAGAACCCGCTGCCCTGTCCCTCTCTTCTCTGTCGCTGTCGCCAGCTGGGAGATGGTGGACCATGGATAGCTCAGGATATGAAGGAAAACAGTCCCCAAAACTTGTCAGTGAGTTCCTCTGCCTTGGGGACACATGAGGGTCTGGAGCTCAGGGTCCTGGTCCCTGTCTTAGCTCTGTCCCCAGGAACTAGGTGCCTCCCGAGTCATTGCACACCTCCAACCTCAGGCCCCTCCCCAACAATAAAGGCCTTTCTGGAAAGGGCCTGCTCCATAGAAGGCAGGCACAGAAGAATCGTCCCTATTGTCATTAGTTAGACAGAAGAGAAGCTCAGGGTCCTCTCAGAACCTGGGCCCTGGGCCGCAGGCAGGTCCTCAGCTTCCTGGGGCGGGCCTGGGTGCTTCTCCATCCGAGATCAAAATTCACCATCCTTGGGTTTCCCCCATCAGTGTCTGAGTTGAGGTGGCTGGGCATTGCGCAGCATTCCCAAAGCCCTGGGCCCAAAGAGTCAGGAAGTCATTCTCGGAGGTGAAAGATACCTCCAAACCTCTCTCCCTCGAGAGGCCCCCAGTATCAAGCAGCGGCCCCACAAGCCTCTTGCAGAGACCTTGGCTTCCCCTGGTCACCTGGGGGCCGGCAGGTGAAAAAGAGAAGGCGCCCAGTGCCCGTCAGTTGGGGAGCCGCGCGCACCTGCCGCAGGTGAGGCCCAACCGTGCGGAAGGAGGAGGAGCCATGGTCGCTGCACTCAGATGAACGACCCCCAGCACCAGAAACCTAGGTAAGGAAGCTGCGGGCTCCTGCGTGGCAGCTGCGAAGCGACGCATGTTGCAGACCGCAACCCCGGCGGCTCCGAGTCCCGCGCAGTGCGGCGGCCCCAGGAGAACATTCGAGGCAGCGGCGGCGTTGGAGGCTCGGGGTCCGTTCGGTATTTGAATAGCACAAAGGAACCGCCTTGGTCTGATTGGCCAGCCGAGTGGCCCCGGGGCGGGCAGCGCCTGTCACTCGGGAGGCTCTGAGCACTTCTATTGGCTCATCAGGTGTGAGGCGGGGCTCGAGTGCTCAGCTAAATAGCTGGGGCCGGGGCCGGCAGAGGCTCATTGCTTTGGCGCCGTCTGGGGAGCGCGAGCCTGCGGGTGGCGCGCAGCGCATGGTGGTGGCTCCTTTCGGAGCGCAGCCGACCCGCTGACCTGGGCTCCGTTCCCCTGCCCGGCGCGCCCGGGCGACCTTCTTGAGACAGAAACAGCAGCAGCATTAGCAGCAGCGGCGGCGGCTGCTTTGCCGCCGCCGTCTCCGCGGGAGCATGGAGTGCGCCCTGGACGCCCAGAGCCTGATCAGCATCTCCCTGCGCAAGATCCACAGCTCCCGGACCCAGCGCGGCGGCATCAAGCTGCACAAGAACCTCCTGGTGTCCTACGTGCTCCGCAACGCGCGCCAGCTCTACCTGAGCGAGCGCTACGCCGAGCTTTACCGGCGCCAGCAGCAGCAGCAGCAGCAGCAACAGCAGCAGCCGCCCCACCACCAGCACCAGCACCTCGCGTACGCAGCGCCGGGCATGCCGGCCAGCGCGGCCGACTTCGGCTCGCTCCAACTTGGCGGCGGCGGGGACGCGGAGGCGCGTGAGCCGGTCGCCCGGCACCAGCTGCACCAGCTCCACCAGCTCCACCAGCTGCACCTCCAGCAGCAGC